TGTCTGACGACATGTCCATATGAACAGGATCCTTCCATATTTTTCTTGGCAGATGATCCAGAAGTGGTTTGCCATTGCCTTCTTCTGTGTGTGAATGGAGTAATTGTTGGGATGCCACGGAGAAACCGGGGAAGCCCCCGGAGGAAAACTCCGTGTTGCCTAGACCACGGCCTTGCCCAACAACACAAGTTATAAATTCGGGCACCGCCGGGAATCGAACCCGAGACCCCAGGATTACAAGGCCAGCGTTCTAACCGCTAGACCACCGTGGTATGTGTATTACGAACTCTTAATTACAAAAGATGAGATACTGACCTTGTAAAACTATAACGTGCAAATACATGGTTTGTTATAAAAACTGGAGGCACACCGACCCCGGAACACAGCTGAAGTAATACAGGAAAACGGAGACGTCAGATACAGAAACTTGCTGGGACGTGCCACTTAGAACAGGCCTACCGCGATAGATGTGGATGAACAATTTAAATGTATTTTGTAGGATTTGAGGGTTTTCACGGCGGTGAGTCAAGACGGCAGTCTTCTGGGTTGTTGCGCCGTGTAGTCTGGCAGAATTTTGCCTGTCATCAATATTCTCTTCGATGTGAGAGCCGTAACTAACAGCCCTGTCAACAGCACAAATCTAATATAAGATACGCCCGTAACAGGGCAGGGTTCATGACTGTGTGAGTGTCATGAACTTTCAGAGCCCTATACGTTCTCAGTGATGACGCCACAGGGCAAAATGTGCTATTTCGTAAGACCTTCTTTTAGCAGCATTTCTAATGCGGTTGACCAAAGAATGAGAACGAACTGAACAACGAATGAGGATACAAAAAATCAAAATTGGGTGTAAAGGATAAATATACGAAATAAATCATGACCCGTCGAACTTCGACGGACCTTCAGCACAAAGGATTTTGTTGTTGGTTCTTTACGAAGGCACATGACTGGGTCACTTGGTACGCTAATGCAGCGAGCGGCAATATATGTAAGCACTTTACATCAATTACTCACTACTGTCAAAAGGGTTTAAACGCTTCCACGTAACACAGCTGCCTCGCAAGGTCTCTATCACAAACAGCGTGATGGATGATACTACACGATGTCATT